ATCCATTTACTCAATTAAGTAATATATAATTCATTATTTATTTAATCTATATTTATAAATATTTTTTATCAAATATAGTTGTGAAAATACTTTGAGCTATGTCCGACGTAACTAGAAGTTTTTTCAAGCTGGAGGACCTCGCCTCTGCAATAAACTGCGAGTCTAAACTATCACTCATGAACGAAAAGGCTGGTCTCGTAATTATAATAATTGTTTATATTATAATTTAATATTTTATTTTTACTCTTTCTCTCTCTCTCTCCCTCCCTTTCTTTCCTCTCTCACACGCACACAGACACACACACACGTATGTACATATACAGATACACATACCTCCTTAGTAGTCCAAATGTTATAGTTCAACTCGTGATTAATTTTATAGTTTTTTTTAATGTAATTGCTATTTATTCTTGTGGCATACATTGGTTTATTTGATAAAATTTTGATTTAATTGACGCATAATAGTTTAAATGAATGTCCTTGAAGGTTAAGGCACGAAAAAGAAGAAAATAGTTTAAAAAGTATTATTAATTAAATATTTGTGTCTAGGGTTTTGAGTTGTTATATCTTTGTAGACGTCATTTAACTTGAAAAATATAATAAACTGCAATAAACAACTCAAGAAACAACAATTTAAGAAACAAATTTAAAAATTAAATTAATAAATGCATTATTCACCAAATAAATATTTGTAATAATAACTTTATCAGACGATAAAAAACGTAATTTAAAAAAATTTAACCTGAAAAAATAATTATTAAAAATAAGAATAATATTCAATCTTTAATATATTTCCAACTAACTGCTGAATTGTTCTAAAATAGAATGGCTGGTTTCATGTTTCAATACCAAGTTAGCACATCACTCATTTTAAACCTAAGTTTCCATTTTACATTTTTAAAGGGACAATTTGAATTTAAAATTAATTTTTTTTTTAAATTATGCCTTTTACTGATTTAGGCAAAATTCGAAGAACTAAAACAAGATTTGGAAACTGAAAAGAGCTTCCGACTGAAAGTATGTTTGGTGATTAGACACATTTAGATTTAGTTTAGTTTAGACTTTAGAGAGTTTAGTTGAGCTATTTTCAACACTCATTGCCAATCCCTACTCTTGACTTAATAATATAAAATATTATAATATGAATTAAAAGTTTTAATTTAAAACTAATTAATTTTAATTAATTCTCAAATAAATTTTATTAAAATTAAAAAATGTAATCAATTATTCATTTTAATCACAAAAAAATAATATTAATTTGAACAACTCTCAAAATCTGGACAAAATTAGGCTGAAAAATCAAAAAATGAGCTGCAGAAACAGATGGATGAGCTTGTTGAGAAGTTGGAGGAAGAATCTTACCAGAAGAAGTTACTGGTCGGATTGTGTTTTACTGAATTTTGTATTTTATTAAAAATAAATTATTTTTATTATTAAATTAATATTATTTATTTATTTATTAAAAATTATTAATAACTTAAACTTTTATAATAAATAATTGATATTCATATCCAATTTAAATAAATTTATATAAATATAAAATCTACTTTATATATTATATTACATGCATTATACATACATAGCACTAAATCACTTTTTTATGCTTAGAATTTTTTTAAATTAAGTTTTTCATTAAATAAAATCATATTGTATCATTTTTTAAACATGAAATATATTTAAAATATAAGATTTTATCGGTAAAATTTTTAAAAACTAAAATAACTTTTACACTAAAAAACAAAAAGTCTGAGCAGTTAGCGAAGAAAGAAACTGAAATCTTGAAGCTTCAGAACACGTTCGAGGAGACACAGCAGATCAATGAAATACAGAATATTAATCTGAAGAAAAAATATCAAGAGATACAAAATGATCTCAACGATCAGATTGATAATCTCCACAAGATTCGACACAGGTTAGCCGGGGCAGTTTTTAAAATTAGGATTTAAAGATTGTCTAGTGAACTTTCACAATGGAATTAAAAGTTGATCTAGTAAATTTTCAAAATGGATTTAAAATCTTATCTTAGTTAAGATAAGAGTGTTGTTTAATTAAATTAAATAACGCTCACTATTCCTCCTATTATCTTACCTGATTCTAAAACTCTTGATGTTTCTCACAAGTTTCTTAGTCTAGTCTTTATCTTTGATTCTAGTATGTTTCTTTCTTCTCAGATTAATAGTGTTGCAAGAAGTTCTTACTTTCATCTACGTAGAATAAAAAAACTTTTACCTTTTCTTGACGATCCTACTCTTCTCCTTCTTGTTACTTCGTTAGTCTTATCTAGGATTGTTTATTGTAACTCGCTCTACTATGGTCTTCCTGATTCTACACTCTATCCTTTAAGTAAAGCTTTTAACTCTGCTGCTCGTCTAGTTGCTCGTGCCCCTTTCTTTTCTCATATATCTCCATATCTTGTTCTCTTGCACTGGCTACCTATAAAATATAGAATAATTTTTAAAATTTGCACGTTCATGTATAAGTCTCAATCTAAATTATTTCCTAAGTATTTATCAGATATATTAATTGAATCTAAACGCCCCGGTTTACGATCGTCTTCTTGTTCTCGCTTTTTCTTAACTCGTGTTAAACACTCTTTTGCTAAATCTGTCTTTGCTTTTTCTGGTCCTTTTCTCTGGAACTCTCTACCTACTTCTCTGACTACTTCTCCATCACTTGCGAAGTTCAGAGCGGATCTCAAGACCCATCTGTTTTCAAAATTCATTGAGGAGCGCTGTTGAACATCGCGGAAATAGCGCTTTATAAGCTAATTGATTGATTGATTGATACTTGAATAAAAACATTTTCAATCCAAGTTAAAAGTTATTTTAGGTATATAATATCAATTCACGTTTCATTTGGTTCTCACACGATGACTTGATGAATGAAGGAATTTAAATTTATTTTAATGTTATTGCTAGCATAATTAATAATATGCTTATAATAATAAAAATAATAATAATAATAAAAATAATTTGCTAATAATAATAAATTTTAAAAATGATATAGAATGGAGAAAGAGAAAATATTACTACAAAAAGAGAAAGAGCAATTAGAAATTGACATCGACAATTTTGAAAAAATAAAAGTAAGCCCTATATAATTAATTTATTCTAAATCATAAAATCTTTACCGAAGATCAATTATTATTATCCATTAGCTATTCTTACTTTTGAGAATTTAAAAAAGTCTGTTAAATAAAAGTAAGCCCTATGTAATTAATATATTCTAAATCATAGAATCGTTGCCAAAGATCAGTTATTATCCATTAACTATTCTTACTTTTGATAATTTAAAAAGTCTGTAGATAGGTAGGAGTATAAAAATTAAAGTTATCAAAGTGTTGATTGGCTATTTCATACGATATAATTTAATGGTGGGGTTATTAATGGTCAAGATGCTTTGCACTGTTACTCCAGTGAAGTGACCGGGTTCGAATGCGAAGTGATTTCATGCAATCGCATGCTGTGCATGTATATATGATGTACTTATCCACTCGTGTTTGTGTGGTGCATTGTCTGTCTGTTGCTAACACCTCTGAAAGAATTATAATGGAATAACATGAATTGAATTAAATGATACAGATGATTGAAATTTTCATCCATTCTTAAGTTAAAAATCAAAAGATTAAATTTAGAACAAGATAGAATTTATTGGATTATTAATTTTCCCGCCTCTTTCCCTAACTTACTCACTCATAGGTTAGTTTAGAAAAAGCTTTAAAAACATCGGAGAGTACGGTGGCGGAGCTTAGAAAAAGAGTTGACTCCCTAAGTAAGGATGTGCAAGAGAAGGATTTTGTAAGGAATCAGTTGCTGAAGGACAACTTGACGCTCTCCAACCAACTCCAGGACAATCTCAATCAAGTCGGTTTCCATCGAAAAGTTTTCATTTTTTAGAGATTTAAAATAACTCGTTTGCTATAAATAATAATTTTTATTACCGACTTTGTTGATAATTTTTTCTACTTTTTTTTTCCATTACCAACCAAAGAGTCTAAAGAATCATGAGTAAGTTATATACGGAGATAAATGGGCTAGATCAGTGGTCGGCAAACTACGGCCCGCGGGCCGCTGAGAAGCTATTTTATGCGGCCCTCCAGGTCTTTATAATCAAAAAAAGCAGGAGCCACAAATCTTAAAAAAATTCCCCCCTGGGTCGAAAAAATTTGCTATTTAAGTACATATGCGGTCCTTCAAAGGTAAAATAGTGCGGCCCTCACAGCAAAAAGTTTGACCACCCCTGATTAATTAACACGAATTTTCAATGTACACTTGATCTATCACGTTTAACCAATCAACCAACCAGCCAACTAATCAACCAATCAGTCCAACCAACTAATCAACTAATCAACCAGCTAGTTAACCAACCAACCGATCAACCAACCAGCCAACCAAACAACCAGCCAAACAATCAATCAATCAGGTAACCAATCAACTAACCGACCACCTAATCAACCAGCCAACCAAACAAACAACCAGCCAACCAATAAATAACTTAACCCATCTCACTTTTTTTTATAATTATTTTTTATAACTTTAAAAAAGAGGTCATTCTCGAGTAGGTTTTTCATTTTTCAAAAAGCATAAACATTTTAACTCCGTTTTTGAAATAACAATAACAAAAAAAATAATAAAATAATAATAAATAATAAAATAATAATAAATAATAAAATAATTATAAATAATAAAATAACAATAATAATAAAATAACAATAAATAATAACCCCTTAAAACCTTTTCCGAAAGGTGTCAAAAGTGGGCCGGGTCAAGCACACCCTGTCGCAACAGCTGGACGAAGCGAAGGGGGCCATGGACGACCTGATGAAGCAGTCGGCCCGCGTCTACGACGAGAACAGGAGCCTGCAGACGAAGGTGACCCGCCTGGAGGAGCAACTGGAAGAGGAACGCGACAAGTACTCCGAGCTTCAGAAGAATTTCGAGAAGGTAACGCAGACGCTAGCCGCCACTAAGAATAAATTGGAAACAGTCGAGAATTCCGGGATGAAGTCTACGGAGTTTGATGAGATAAAGAGGAAGCTGGCATCCAGGATCATCGAACTGGAGCAGCAGCTGGAGAACGTCCTATCCAGGTGCATCGGCCTGGAGAAGGTTAAGAATCGCCTGCAAAGTGAGGTGGAGAAGTTGACCTCTGAACTGGAATCGGTACGGTATTGGTGATGATGATGATGATGGTGACGGTGGAGGTGATGATGACGATGTTGGTTGTGGTGACGCTGCTGATGAAGATCATTGTACTGCTGAATTCGTATACACTGGCTGGATTTTCATGATAAGTGAATGAGGATGATAATGAAATGATGAAAATTAATTGATTGATTGGCTTGATTGATTGATTGATTGATTGATTGATTGATTGATTGATTGATTGATTGATTGATTGATTGATTGATTGATTGATGATTGATTGATTGATTGATTGATTGATTGATTGATTGATTGATCGATCGATTGATTGTCCACTATTTTTTAATTATTGGATTGAAAAAAATTGATTTATTAGTTTGTTATTATTGTTATTTATTATTATCATTATTATCATTATTATTATTATTATATTAATTGTTATTATTATAGTTATTATTATTCACCGTACACAACATTCGATAATACATATTCACGCATGCAAAAATCATTTTTC